TTCTGTCACTCAGCTCCTCTTCTTGAGAGAGAGAGAGAGAGAGAGAGAGAGAGAGAGAGAGAGAGAGAGAGAGAGAGAGAGAGAGAGAGAGAGAGAGACGCTATGGACGGATACAGGCGCGCGAGGGAATTGACCAAGCTCCTGGAAAGCAGGACAGATGATGATCGTCACTTTGTCCGTGTAGCGACCGAGCAACGGCTCAGATCTTGTGCTGAAGCAGATGCTCTCTTTCTCTTCCGGAGTACCAGACGATCCTCTCTGTTGTTGTACGCTGCCATTCTCGATAGCGTGGTCGCTTTTGGGACCACCACCAATCCCCGACATCTCTCCTTTCCCTCTGGTACTGCCCGGCTCGATGCGAGCTATCTCCGTGCCGACACCATCGTGGGACTCACTAACAGTTCGGTGGTGTCCACTCATGGCAGCTCTGAGGGAACGTGGCTATCTGACTACCTTATGCAGTACGGCAATAGGTTTGCCTTGCACGCCAGGACGAACAACACCCATTTTTTCGAAGACTACTCTTACCGTTTGCACGCAATGAAGCAGCTGCAGCGTCAAGATGCATGGGATCTGGACCGTCCGATCGTCGTTGCAAGCTTGGCGAGAGCGGCGAGAGGTAATGACAGGCATTGCTACACGGTTGTGCTAGGAGGATCGTTCATCCAGCGCGACTGCTACATTGCGTGAAGGAGAAGAGGGAGGAGGAAGAGGGGGAGGAGGAGGAGGAGGGGGAGGAAGAGGAGGAGGAAGAGGGGGAAGAAACGGGAAAGCAGTGACGACAAAAGGGAAAAGAAGCCATTCGGACAAAGACAATGTCCAGCTAGAAGAATCGTTTATCCAGGGCGACTGCAGGACACCCTGTTCGCAGAGGAGGAGGAAGAGGAGGAGGAGTAAGAGGAGGAGGAGGAGGAGGAAGAGAAGGAAGAGGAGAAGCAAATGGGAAAGCAGTGAGGAAGCGTGGAGTTTAGGACAAAGAGAAGGAAAAGAAAGGATTCGGGCAAAGGAGAACGTCCGTCCAGGGCGACCGCCGACCGCTGAGTCTGCAGGACACCCTGGAGGAGGAGGAGGAGGAGGAGGAGGAGGAGGCCAAAGCAAAAAGAGGATTTAAGGAAAGGGAGAGACAAGGGCGAGGTAAGAAGCAGGAGGAGATGGAGGCAAGGAAGAAATGGGAAAGCAGTGGAAGTAAAAGGAAAGACAGGGATTCGGAGAAGGCATGGACAAACGAGGAGGATGTAAAGAGGAGTAGGAAGAGGAGTAGTAGTAGGAGGAGGATGTAAGGAGTAGGTGGAGGAGGAGTGGGAGGAGGAGGAGGTCGGGAGGAAAAGGGAAAGTCATACGGAAGAAACAACAAGCAGTGAAGAGGGAGACGTGGCGACTGGGAGACACCGGGAGACACCGAGAGACTCCGGGAGACTCCGGGAGAGAGAGAGAGAGAGAGAGAGAGAGAGAGAGAGAGAGAGAGAGAGAGAGAGAGAGAGAGAGAGAGAGAGAGAGAGAGAGAGAGAGGTTGTTTCCTATCAAACGCGTTTCCTTCTTTGGCCAAATGAATGCATTTGGCCATCCACGTTGTCCCTGTCCATTTTACAAAGGGTGACCTCTTGTCCCCTCACCACGGGGAGTATCCCTTTTTCACGGAGACGTTCACTCCGACTGTTCCAGACATGTTTCATTACAAGCTCTTATATCTACAAAATCCAGGAGGAGTACGAAGACGAGGAGGAGAAGGTGAACTTAAGGAGGCAAAGGGTATACAGGGTAGTACAGGCCCATTACAGGGCACATGGAATACCGGTTTCGAACGCTGGATTTTGTAGATAAAAGGACTTGGAAGAGGAGGCGAAGGGGGAGCCTCACGTCGAGGAAAGAGAAATCAGAAGAGTAGACGAATCAGTGACAGGAGCTGCAGGATGCCAGCAGCAGCAGCAGCAGGAGGATGAGGAGGCGGAGGGGGAGGCCGAGGAGGAGGAGGATATGACAATAAACAGGACGCACAGGCAGTTCCGACCGTCGGATTCGTGACAGTCGCCTCCAGATGTAAGTTCATGTAACTACCTTCTTCCCCCGAATGCCACGTACGGTCATTATAGCTGAATTTGGCGTATCTTTCAGTCTTACTTCACCTATAACGCCGTACGTTGTATTCGGGGGAAGAAGGTAGCAGTCTTGCACATGTTACCCGGGCTACGGGGAGGTGGAGAAGTTTTGCGACGGATTGATGATACGTCATCGTGCCAGACTGCCACTGTTGATAAACTAGGCTAGACGCTAGTGGCGTGACTATGCCTCAACTCTCTCTCTCTCTCTCTCTCTCTCTCTCTCTCTCTCTCTCTCTCTCTCTCTCTCTCTCT